GCTCCTTCTGTCCACTGCCAACAGGGACATTTTCCATTCCTCCTTCAAACAGCAGGAGATGAATAAATACCTCCATGCTGCTCCCCTGCTTCTTCAACAGTAATGGGCCGGTACACGACACCAGTTCCTGTGCTGTTTCTCGCAGTCTCGCACTGCAGAGCCAGGCGAAGGGCGCCCTCAAGAACTTGTCATGCAAACGTCCAAACCCTTAGTGTTGGTAATTCCTGACATATTTCGATGAAAGGCGCTATAGAGCTTTCAAGTGAAATATTTTTAATTAAACTTGAACATACATATGCAAGTAGAAACAAGTTACAAACATTAAGCAAAGGCGGTTGACGAGGTTACATTATCAAACAATAATCATCTTAATCAGTAACTTTTTCCATATTTAGGACCAATGATTCATCTCTTACACTTCTCAGTTACTCTAAATATGAAAAAAGATGCCTGTCTTCCATTCCAATTCCCTTTTTCATTTTACAGTCCAAGGACATTTTCTCCAACAGGCTTCTCAAGCAAAAGATTTTGCCAAATCTTTCTTCAAGCTTTCCAGGTGAAGCATCATTTCAGGTTTTCAGTAGTTAGGATCACTAATAAGATACTGCTTCTAATCCAACAGGGAACACTCCGATTTTTATGTATTTTTTTTTATATGTATTTATGAAAAAAGCTTTCCACAGAGACAAAGATCGGCGTGTTCTTGGTGCAGCATGAAAACCAGCATTTTCAGGACTTTGGGATAGACACACATCTCTTTGAGCATGGCAGGCCATTTTCTGGCTAGAGAGAAATCACCCAACAACATTATAAGATGACTGAATAATACAGAGATTTTTAAGATATTAGGATCTCCCACAAAACCTCCAAATAAAACAAAAACATGTCAAGCACATATCTCATCTGATCTTACGATATTTAAGATTATAACTGATACAAACCTGCTCTTCCATGACTACAAACACTGGAAGTATACCGGCATAAGGAATTCAGCTGCAGTGGTACTAGAACTATTTACCGACAGACTGATCAGAAAGCCCAAAGAAGATCACTTCAGTCGAGGTCTTAGAAAACATGCCCCATCAAGAGGGAGTGAAGGACATTATTGCTCAGGAACACTTAGGAGATCTTTAAAAAGCCAGCCACAAAGAGGGATATAAATTCTTTCCCATTTCTCTTGAAGTATAATCCAAAATAGTCACAGATTCAAAATTGCTGCAAGAAAATGTAGTTTTGGTCACTAAAAAAAAAATCTACTAAATGTACCCCTTAAGACAGTGGAATAGATGGCCAAAGAAATCTCCAGTAATGAGATCTCAGAAAAAGGCTTGCCCAATCTGTCAGGAACGCTGAAGTTCATCCCCTCTTCAAGACAGAATAAATTATGTCTACTGTCCTTTCAACCTTATATTCTAGAATTTTACGATCACATTTTTACGTGATTTACCCAACAAACACTGTACAACCTCAGTGAGTTGCTTCTTACAAGTCACTTTAGGATTGACTTCAGGCTCCTCACCAAGCCAGCCAAATCTCAGATTTATTTTTTTTTAGTACAATATACTAGTACAAATGCTCAGTAAACACACTGAGCTCTTAACATTCGGAAAGGACAGCCAAAGAAACTATAAAGCACGGTGGATCCATCAAAAGATATTTGGGCCTCTATGAAAAACAAAACAAAACACAAAGACAAACCAAATCAAACCACAAAATCTAAATTTATCTGCTAAATACTGCCTCGTTTTCCAGGAACAGAGCGTTTACAGGAATTATTAACTGAGAAAACTATTCACTGTACTATCATTCCTGCAAAAATTACAGGAGTATTAGAAAGGGATGGGTATATCAGTATGGGGGTGAGGTAGGATTTTTTTTTTCTCAAAAGCTTCAACAGACAAAACCATTAATGACAGTACCTAATATGTGTCACCTTGATATGCAGACTTAGTCTGACACAGAGGAAATGCTGAATCATTTTCTACTTCCCTTTTCCTTAAGCATAACAAGTCACAAGTGAAGGCATCTTATGCACCAGGTAAACTGGACAAATTAAAATATTTCTTGGGATTTAATTAGTAATTCTTATAATCCCATAAAAATACTTAAAAAGCAAAAATCGTCTCTTGAGAGAATATTGTGGAAATAGATGAAAGGACATTTTACTTTCTGGAGTAACACAGGATACTTCTACTTGGGAGGTCAGAGATGCTCAGTAATACTCTGGTGCCCAGCAACACAAATAAGCACAGTTAGAAGCTTAGACTGGGAAAGATACTGTCCTCGAGAGAAGAAACTATTCTCTTCTGACAGTATTTGTCCACCATAAATCTCACCAATACACCAAGTTCGTCACCTGAACTGTTAACAAAAAAAACACCACTAGCAACACACCGTCATTTAATCTTGGTTCCCTGGATGGTCCTACTGAACTTGACGAGACCCTGCTACCAGCTCTTGTTTCAGGTCACCTCTGTCTAGAGACGAGTTAGCACGGGGGCTCTGGCCTCGATCAGCTGCTCCACCTGGCAGCTCTGCTGGCCTGCTGCGCCTCGGCTGGCAGGCTGAAAGGGAAAAGACTTTCCAAGTCTCTACCAACGTGAACTAAGAGAGCTTTGAAAAGGCACCTGCATCACGTCTAATCACAATCCATCTCACTGGTACCTGGGCATTCAAATCAACTCTGCACAAAAGAACTCTAGAAAGGAAAAAGCGACAAGACTGAGAGAAGCAGGGCTGCTTTACTGTAGGATCAAGCCAGTGCATACACATAAAAGATACCAGCCACCCCTCTGGCCAAAGGCAGGGAATTACAGAACACACTATTACAGGCTAAAGAGAACAACTAGAAAAAATGAGATTTGACTTTTGCTTTATATTTAGTGTTGAGGAAAAGGCTGCGCAAAGAAATAAAGCATGTGGGCAGGACTAAACACTAGAAGTGGAAGCTAAATGTCATCTGTGATCTTCATGGTATTCGGGGTCCAAGCAGCTTTTAATTCTTTTTTAAAACCCTGCCAAAATGGACAAGACTGGCCCTCCTGCTGCTCAATTTTTTTCTTTTTTCTTGCGTGGTCAAAGAAGCAAAGTCACAGATTCAACGTGTCACTAAGTGATTAAAAATTAATCAACTATCTTGATCAGTGTTAAACAGCTAATTTCAATACTTGCTTTTATTCTTCCATGGCTGGAAGGAAATCTTAAAATGACCACAGTAATAAGAAAAACGTAACAAAAGCTGCATGGAAAGAACCTGCTTTACCTTGCTAAAACACCAGTATCTGAAAGCTAAGAAGGACAGAGTAAATCTGCTTCTGTATGCAACAGAAGAGTGGTTACACATGCATTTAATGAAGCTAATGGCTCTTGCTTACCATTAGACTTACGTGAAACAAATAATTTTTGATTTTCTAAAAGAGAGCATTATGATAAAAACTATTTCATTGTGAACGTCACCGTGGGCACTTATAACCATTTGTTATGAAGAGCTGTACACAGTGGTGACTGGCATTGCTTTGTTCCACCACATAATAAAAGAAGTTGTGCATGACTGCTTTATTCAATTATTCACAAATAACAAACCTGTCACACCCCTTGCAGGCCACTGGGATTCCTAAATGCATATCTATATACAAATATCTGTAGCCCAACAGAATCAATTCCTTTCAATTTCTTGTACTTTACTCTTAAGTACTTAAGTCACTATGTCTGAGGCATGAGACATCCTCCAAGCCAAGTGGTTTTCAGCTCTATGTAATCAATAACACCCTTCATGTTAATATTTTGAAAGACCACAGGGTCACAGTTCACAATTTTAAGTGTATTTCAGTTTTATGAGCCGTAGAAAAACGTTTATAAAAAGTAGTTATGACTTTGGCATTTCAACTTTCTCTTCCTTTCCACAAAGGAAAGCCTAACCTCCAAGGCTTTGCTCAGTCCCTGCGACACACTGTTCACTTCATTACAGACTTACAGCAGTTCTGCAAGCTTCCCTAATTAAGGCTCTGAACAATTTAAGAAGCATTCTTCCAAAAAAACACCTCCACTAAACCACAGCATTAAACCATATCACATCCTTCTTTTCTCCTCAGCGTAAACCTGAGGACCGATTTCACACTGACAACACAATCTCGCTATGTCCCTTCATCTTAGTTTCTTCAGAGCCTTAACAAATTAACTTGTCTTTTCATTAAGACAGAAGGAACTTGGTGGAGACACTTTCTAACCAAAGCTGCAGATTTTAAAATATGCACACTGTCATCAAGACCAGCACTGCGAGCCCTCCAGACCACTGGTGGCTCAAGGGACACTCTGCAGATAATAGACCCCTCATCAAAAGATAAGGAAATCTCATTTAGATGCAGAAGTGAAATGGTAACGTTTTTAACCCAGCCTCTAACAGAGAACATCCCTCTCCAATATACGGCTTAAACTAGTTTCACAACACGCTTCCCAAGAAAATAAAAACAATCTTCCCTGGAGTACCGAAACCACACAAACACCAGCATCTGCACACAACTAAATTAGGTGGCTCCCACCACCAAATAAGCAGAGCAGCCTGGCTTTTTAACCAAAATTTAAAACCAGCCATCCAAATCCTCTTCTCTGGCCAATTATCAGATCTATCAACCTTAAGCAAAAGGAGTCTACTTGAAAAGTCTTTGAGACTCAAGTTATAACTTAAAGAACAGGAATACTGATTCAGCGTGATTTCAGTGATAACTGCCTGGCAATAAAGCACTACAGGAAGCAATAATCTCTGAATAACAACTAATACCTTCAAGTTCTGAAAATATAAAATATGGACTATTATCAGGTCTGCTAAATCTGCTACTTGCCTCATCAGCTTAGGTCCATGTTTTATTTTGGGATTACACGGAATAAAACACACAAAACCAAACCATGACACAACACACACATGAGATGAGCCTTGGAAACTTACCCCTCCTGACAACTTAATCACCCTGACTTTGCTGCCGACATGGGGCCCATCTCCACTACTACTGTTTGTCCGCTGCATGACAGTCCTTTTCACGCTGGGTTTCAGTTCTTGGGGCCTTGCCTGTACCGAAGCCACTCGAGCAGTCTGTGTCGCGGGCAGCGCCGCCGCAGGAGGGTTTGTCTGCAGGACTTTCGGCGGAGCCTGCGGCTGGCTCGGACTGTGTCGCGGGCAGCGCCGCCGCAGGAGGTTTTGTCTGCAGGACTTTCGGCGGAGCCTGTGGCTGACTCGGAGGTACCGTTCTAGTCTGCCTCACCTGCTTCACCGGCTTCATCTGCTGTCCTTGATACTGCATATTCGCCCCGACCTGTGCGAAATCCGCGGGTTTGGGTTGGATATTTGGAACTACCGTATCTGGCTTTTTAACGAGGAGTCTGTTTTTCACATTTTGCCTGGTCTGTAAGCCGGAGTGGGGTATGTAAGGGCTGCCATTGGTGGGGAACTCGGAGCTGTCGTCCTCCTGCTGTATGTAGGACTGTTGCGTAGAAGGTTGCTGCTGCTGCTGCTGCTGCGCAAGTCTTTCGAGCAATTCTCTCTTTCTAGCACCAGCCTGCTGCTGTCGTCTCAGTTCCTTTTGTTTCAGAATTTCTTCTCTTAAACGCTTCTGCTCTTCTATCTTCAAACGGTATAATCTAGTTTCTTCATCTTCATCTGGATACTACAAAGGAAAATACACATTAATTTATAAAATTCTCAGCAATTGCCCAGCTTGGTCGAAACAACATTAAAATTCTTGTTTCAGATGTCATAAAGAGGTATAACTCTCGAAAACTAAGGCTATTAAATAGTGGAGTGTATCTGCTGGTAAGCTTTATTTGCCATTTGCTATTTGTTACAGACAAACAGCTCAAATCTGGTTCAGGACTTAGATATAATAATACTTCCTGGACAGAAAAGCTTTGATACCAGTTGAGAAATTTTATCAGAATACTTTAAGGAAAAAAAAGTAGTTTTACGAATTGGAACTAATTTAAAAGTTTCTAAAACCAATTAAACTATTAATATAATTCACAATATCAAAATATGTTTCAAATGGAAAGCAACAATACAGAGGCAACCCACTGTCACACAGGTTTTATCTTGCTCTTTTCTGACAAAGTAACAAAAGGTATGGTGGTAAATGACCTGAAAGGCTCTGATTAGAACTATTGATTTTTCTCACAGAATTTTCAGCCTGATCTCAAACTCATTTGTCACACAATAATTGGTTATAATGAACAGCACAAGTCAATCTCTCTGACCTTGAACTCATGCACTCTCTTCAGAATCAAAATGTTGCCAAATGCAGTGTTGGAATATTAATGGTATATAGAGAATGGTTTTAATATTCCAGCCCTGGGCCCTTCTGAAAGTATTACATATCATCAAATAACCTTTCTAAAGATTCTTCAACTTTGGCAGAACAGATTCTTAGGAAAAGCTGTACAAAAATGGACAAGAGTCAAGAAAATGCAAATTCTCATATCCTGGAAAAGAAATCAAATTGCTCTTGGAATACAATCACATACATTTTTCAAAATTACAAAGCATACTTTTTCATGTATCATTTTTCCTTTTCTACCATTTGAAATATTAAGTCAGAGACTTGTAGAGACTGCTTACAAATGTCAATGAGCACAACATTCTACTCAAGATACATTAATCACTCCTAACATAAACAAGCTATCAAAGTAACAAGAGCTTGCATGTTGGTAAATTACAGAATAAAGAACACGAAAATATTTCTCAAAAACTGAATCCGTGAACTTGCAGTAATTGGATGCAAACTTCTGTCAACACAAATGCAATTTTTTGCACATATACAACACAAATGTCCAACAGTAGATTAGTGATTTATTTTATTTTTTTAAGTGCTTTTATTCCTGGTACACCCCAGAATCCTCCCCAAACCATGGGAAAAAAAAAAAACAAAACAGAACAGGTCCCTCTATGAAGCTGGTTCACAGATACAAAAGTCCAAAGTCTCGTACTTGTACTCATATACCCATAGCCTCCAGATGCACAAATTCTGACTGCTTGCTCCCTTCAGATACAGCTGGTTCTTCCCTGAGTGTTTATTGAAGTAGATCACTCCCAAAGTGACGAAGAAATAGGTGCATATCTCACACTAGAAGCCCAGCCTAAACAATGGCTAAAATAAGACCTGAGTAAAACAAGATTTTTTTCTCCTTTTTTTTTTTTTTTTTTTAAATACAGGCTATATGTGTGGAATGAGGTCTAACACTGTCCTTTTTAGGAGAATGGATCATATAGGAAAAGGTTCTTGATCTTCCTCTATATTTTTCAGACTACAATGGGGGTAATTAAGGACTACTCACTCTAACACTTTGATTACAGTTTATAAACTCTAACAGGAATGCACTTCTACAAACTAAAATCAGGAGTGCGAGGAAATTCAAGTATTTTATAGACAAACTGGAGATGCTGGACTGTAGTAAAAAAATAAAATAACTAGGCACTTACAAAATACAGTAAAAGTTCAGGACTCTTAAATGTAGTTTACATCAGATGACAAAATACAGATAAGCTCTAGATAGGAGGAGGCTGTGCTGTTATGCAGATCCTAAAGCCATGGAGAAAATTTTCTGTCAGTTTCAGACAGAATAAATATCTCAGTTCCTGAAAGTGTCCAAACACAAAAGCTCTTCCACTTCATACATTCATTTATTCACTTGCTTTGCTTTAGATCAGAATATTCTACGTTTTATCTGAATAGGTTTGAATGGATGCCAGTAAGTCAGTACCAAATTCACATTTGGAGGCAGCACTGTGTTGGGGTTGTTTTTTTTTTCCTTTTATGTTCAATTGACATAATTTCATTATGTCAGTATCAGTACGAATCTGCATGAGACCAGCCCTTCTATCAGCTCTCCTTTATTATCAGGGACCTGTCTGCTCGTATTATCATCTAACCAGTTCTGAAGGCCTTGGAAGATGTAGATCATGATCCAGTAAGCACAAAACACTAACACAAAGCCTATGTACAGCAGCACAGAGATGTAAACACTGTGGCACCCTTAAATGAGCCTTGCCCGCAGACAAGAATGAGCATCCTGAGGGACTCCGACAAATATGCCCGTGCAACGCCCCTTGGATACACTGAGTTCAGCCACACTAGCGCTGAACAGAATACAGCTGACAAAGTATATTACCAACACATATGAAGTTAGATGAATACTTAGTAGAATCTTCAGGCCACTTGATCTCCGATGTAATCTGAAATTTTCCTTTTAAAAAGTCAATACTTAGGAAATGAGCAATGATCCTATGAAGTCAATCTCATCTTAAAGGGTAATAAACTTTTAAATCAAGGGCTAAGAGCTCTGAGGTTATATGACAACTGCAGATTAGTCTGTTCACAGGCTATATATGCAGATGTAAATCCTGCATCTTTACAAGCAAGTTGCTACTAAGTTCTCAGTAAAATACCCTTGCAGCTAGAGGAAGAACAAACAACTCAAAGGTCCTGTGATGATTAACAAAATACCTGCATTAGGAGTTAGGTTTAACAGAAATTAGTTGTGCAATGACCCAACAGTACAGTTTCAGAAAGGCAGCAAACTCCTTACTAGGATGAAAACAAAGGCAGTTAAATCCTCCGCTGCTTGGCTTTAAGAACACCGTATACAGAGAGAGTGTGAGCGTGTGCATATATATAGGTGACCTACAGTTTATATATAGATGACTGATAGTATGTAATAAGGAACTTCATCATACAGAACAGACAAGACAGTATATCAGGTCAAGATGAAAATGGCACACAATGCCTATTGCTAATGATTTTCTTCCAATTAGTTTAATAAGCCCAGTACAGTTTTCTCCAACAAGCAGACATCCTTCGAAGTTGCCATAAAGCTCACAGCTTGTGCTTGGAAGTTTGCTGCCAAAAGCAGCATTATCTATAGGTGAAGCAGGAGAAAAACTTTGAGCAACCTTCTTCTTGGATAAACTATTGATGCTGTAACATTAGAAACAAAAGAGGCAAGAATAATTTGTTCAAAAACTCATGGCAAGTCTTCATAAAAGGTACGACCAGATCCAAGCTGCACCATTTGGCTCCTTCTGTTTAAAACCACAGAAAACACCTTAAACAAAGGCATCTACATACACATGGCACGTTTCACACTGCTGGTAACACCGGCTACCGAGCCCCAGGAAGGTGTGAGTCACCCTGCACAACACAGGCACTGTACATCTTGGACAAACAGAAGGAAAATTAAAAACAAGGTTACAAGTTATTCTGAGAACCCCACTGTCCTCACAATCCTCCAACTGGAAAGACTGTGATACAAAGAATCTTCCAAGCACAAGACAGGAGGCACCATTATTAAAACTTGCAAATTAAGCTTATTTAAACTGCAGAAAACTCAAATTTAGACAAGGAAAATTTTTCAGGTAGTTAATTTGCCTTAGAACTTAATGCAGCATCTCTTGTCCGTATTCCAAGCCTTGTTAAAAAAAAGACAGTTACGTAAAATCCAACAACTCAACTTCAAAATTTATTGGATTTGGGATAATGAAATGTGAAGGTTTTCGTTCAGTGTATCAGGGACACCAACTGCAACACCAGCAGTAATATCAGCACACGCATAATTATGCAGTGCTATCAATTCCTTTCCCATTCGGAGCTCCAATATCCATTTCTTCTAAAGAGATTCGCATCACCTTTCTACATTCTCCCCCTGTTCTTTAAACTCAAAAATGCTTAATATTGCTTTAATTTCTCTTATCCTAAACTTCATATTGACCTCAACATGAACACAATTAGACCCCGAGTCACCATCCACACTTTCTTTTCAGACTGCAAACATGCAAGTTTAAATCTTGGAGAGTAACAGCTCTTTTAACCAGAGACACTTAGAGTTACTGTTGTGCAGCCTCACAGGAATGGGAATATGAGCATACTATCAGGAAAGTAAAAATACAGTTTTTAATCTTCTAGTCACTCAGGTTGCAAACCTTTAAAATATCCATGCTGAAGGCGAGCAAAAGCTCTGACATCCAACATTGCTTTATTTTTGATGCTTCCTGAATGATAGGGCATTCATAAATATGGCCACTGACTCTTCAGGAAGAAGGATGCAAAGAAAAGTCTTAATTTTCCAGTTGAAGACACTTTCAAAATAACCTGCCCAATTCAGTTACTAACAACAGAACTAGAAAGGATGACAGAACTTAACTCTTTGTCATAAAAAGCATTTATCTTGTTTTGCAAAATCTTGCATAAAACAAGTATCAAACTGTTTTCAAAGACAGCTTTGGCATAGAAATAAAAAGAAAGCTTTTATTTATAAAACACCAAGAATTCACACAAGTAAGATTAATTAAGTCTTATAATTACAGGTTTGTTAGGACACGTATAAAACAAAAGTGGAAAGAACAAGAAGACTGTTTAGCTTTTTTGGCTTTTGGGAGGTTTTGTGTTGTTGTTTTTTTAAATTAGTTTAAGAGGTGTGAAGAAAATAACCATTCATTTTTCTGAACACTCACAGAGGTATTTTGGAACCAATGTCTTAATTTTCATATGACTACATCATGGAAGAACTTTAAGATGTTTTAGATGCGAATGCTGTAGCCTATTTGCTTCAAAATCTACCTTACTAATGGAATAAAAGTCAGAGGCTCCCTAAGAGGCACTGCATTTTCTGTGGCTTAGATTATTCCAAGAGACTGAATTGAGAGGAAGGGGATTAAACTTTTTTTTTCAAAAGAGACCAAAAATTAAAAACTGAAAAGCTGAAGGTTTTTTCTGTTTTTTTTTTTTTTTGTCTAATATATATTTCCATTGAAAAGCAAGTGCACAGGAGGTCAAACGCTGCTAGTTATGGGTTTCTTTTGTGCCTCATTTGTGAAAATTAGTTATGATCATCCCTAATTCAAGAACAAGATGAAAAGCTAATCATGAGCAGCTTAAAGGCAAGACAGTATTATCACAATTAAAGCTTTCAACAGCTGTTGAAGAAAACCTGGTCCTTGAGACGAGATTCATGGTCAACTAAAATACAAAGAATTACAGTTCTGCTCACGGTGACCTGACAGAAATTACACAGGGTGCTTTTAAGCCATCATGTTCCTCTGGTACCTCCTGATGTTCAGGATTAGCAGCACCATCAGTGCAATCCTACCCACTCTCTCAAACTAATAGTGCTCATGGAGAGCATTCTCTAGAACCTGTGCAGAGAAATGGTTCACATTGCATGATCCAGTGGAGCTCGAACCACTGACATCTCATTTTGTGATTGTGCAAAGTACTAGCAGAGCAAACAGCCTGTTTCTCCAAAACAGAAAACTTATGAGCTTCTCCTATTTTCCCTCATACCAAAATGTTTCATACAGGAGATTTTTTTTTTTCTTCAAGACCAAGAAGCTCTACAGACAATATAGCTGCAATCTCCTGCAGGAGTGCTCAAGTCCCTAGAGGACACTGAACAGTCTAAAGGAAAAACAGCATGAGGAAGGAAGACAGCTCTCCCAAACAGCCTTTTTTTATTTTTTTTTGAGCCATACAGCATCACAGGAAATGGAAAGCAGCTTTCTGACTTAGGAGAAAGTGATTACCAAAAAAAACAAAGGCATCATAAACCTGGAGGATAAAAATGAGCAGAATGGGTATTTCAGAAGCTTGTATCATTGATTACCTTTACTCAACCTCTGCCTTTTCATAGTAGAAATGACTCCTCCTGCAAAGCAGATTCACCACAGCTTTACCAATATTCCAGACTACTTTTTGGTTTTGTCATTGAAAATCAGTTTTGCTATCACATTAAAGAGAAAAGCGCAACTCAGAAGGGAGGCCTCTAGTGGCACCGAAAAAATGTTGGGTGGATAATACATTTCAGCACACTCGAGGCTGGCAAGTCAGACTAGAAAAGTTTTAAAAAAGCAGGAGGGTTTTGTTTCTTGTGGTTTGTTTAACGAAAACAAATTAAAAAGAAAGTCTTACCTCTGGTTCAGATTTTACTTCTGATTTTGCTTGGCCCACTGGTGTGATTGCTTTAGCTTTCATCTCAGGCCTTCCCTGTGAGTTTCCAACACCAGTTACAGCTTTGGGGGCAGACACGGTGCTGGTAATGGGTTTGACCTGAGCAGCTGGGGTGGAGGTTCGCCTGTTGTTGTTCATTTCCATTGCGTGTGACGGTGCTATCGGCAACTCACGCAAGTTGCTATTTCTTGGAGCAGTCGACTGTAGCTGCTGATTCGGACGCTTGACAATATTTTGAGATGGGGTATTCTGGAAAGCAGAAACGATACACTGCAGATTTCCACTACAAACCAGACTAAATTGTTTCCTGTTTCATGTTTTCATTATTTAGCTAAGTTTGGGGGAGAAAAGCTTTTCAAAGTGGCACAAAGAAGAAAAAAATGTAGAAATAATAACATTTTAACAGTGGTTTTATTTTTCTCAATTAAAAGCAAAACTGAATCTCACTTGTTTAAGATAATTCTCAGAAATTAGCTTCACTGTGTGATTTACTTTGCTAATCAAAGCAATTTTCTGAACTACAGTCATGTTGTCTTGAGCACTGTTACAGACTGTTGCGCTACCCCAACCTACTGAGAAATAGAACAAGCTGCACAGGAGCAAACTCACTAGACATGAGTGGCACTATCTGAACCAGAAAGCTTATTAGCAGTGGTACAGAGAGCCCTTCAAATTGAAAGACAGTGTCAGTGAACCAGGCTCCCACACAATCACAGGCTACTAGCTGTTTTAAAATCTCACTAAGCAAACTTGTTCTTCGAAAACCCTTTATTGACAGTTCTTTGGCAACTGTGTCATCAAAAACACTGAAGACTGGAGAAGAAGACACAAAAAAAAAAAGGAAAGAAGCACACTCTATTTTTGGATGTGAGTTATAAAATGATCACAGCAGAAGAGGAGCAAGAAATGCTGGAAGAAGGGGACAGAGCAGGAAGAAAATAAATGGAACTGAAAAACCACACTGGTGAATTTCGAAACCTGTGCTTACACACCTATTACTCACGCAGAACTACACTGGGCAACGCTGATGGATGAGGTACTTACATGCCTCGGCTTCATGGGACCCTGTCGTGGCTGACACTGCATCCTGTTGTTATTTGGCTGCTGCTGCGTGGCCTGCATATGAGGCCTGAACTGTGGCTGAGTCATGGGCATCAAGGGCTGCGGTGGCCCTTGGAGATGATGATGGTGTTGCTGCTGCTGCTGCTGGTGATGGTGTTGCTGCTGTTGCTGGTGGTGGTGTTGTTGAGGCTGAGGTTGTGGCTGAGGCTGTAGTGGAGGATGCAAGGGACCCTTTTCGCAAGAAGAGAAAGGTTATTTGATTTTAGTTACCTTGAAAGGTAACAAACTCGCGAAAATTAGCTCTGGCCTCCCAAGTGCTTAAAACATTGGTAAGCAGCTATGGACCAGAGGAAACTAAAAACATAATGAGTAAAAACCAGACTAAGAGAAGATGTGCAAGATAGTTCTACACTTAGTCCTGTGTGAGACAACAGCTGAAGTGGAAAAAGACGAATGCAAAGGTTCCTGCCCTCTGCCCCCTTTTCTAATGCCTTTTAACCTGGCTTTTCTATTTGTTTGTTGATTTTCGCTACTTTTTTCTCCCGACATCACCAGACTTGACGATTTCCCCACGTTCAAGACACAGGCATCACGCGAAGATCCCACATGAAGCCTAGCGAATATTTTCCCACGTCAAAGCAGCGACTCAGCTCCCTCCCGGTTTTGCCGGAGACCCCCGGGGCTCCCC